TTATGTACGTTTATAAGTCAGTGTCTCATTTGCAATTCCTACTCCTGATGATGGTAGTGTAGTGCGAAACATGTAGGGTTTTTTGGGGGGGGCTGTGCCCTGTTTTTTATAAATACAATTTTATTATGCAGTAAGTCAGTGTTGTGTATGTGCGTTTTTAATCTTTTAACGTTAAATAAATTATACAATAAATACAAACGTTAGTTTGTATGTGTTATTTTACATTACTTCTTTCGACTTATTTTCCTAGATGAAAAAGTCTCTCAAATTTCGACTTTAAGCACAAGCAACCGTTTGAGGCCTACCGCTAGGGAGAATTTTTGAATTGCAAATTTATTAACTAATTTTATCTTTTATCCATTAAAATTAGGTATCTCTTATCTTAAAAATTTAAACATTACACTTTTTTTTGGCAATTTGTAGCCTTGAATGAAAATTAAAAAAAGAGAGGGGGACAAGTCCCCCTAAACGTTTCGCTAACGCGCAACTTATTAGCGGGACTAATCTGATACGCCTCTGTTTAAGCATTTTAATTTGGTACTGAATTCGAGAATTGCAAAACGTATTTATATACCAAACTGAGCATTAACTTTTAAGATATAAATTTAACCTTATCGTTTTCTCACGCACAGAAGACGCCACAGTTAAAGATGTTTTACATAAATCAATGTTTATTTTAATTTTTTGATTTCTAAAATTGGAAACGAAGATCATAAGGTATGGTAATAATACACTGTAGTTCTGCTATTAGAAACCAGTTGCCAACTTAATAAAACGAACTATATATAGCTGATGCGGGCCTAAACTCTATATTAGAGCTATTCTTCCTTTGGTAAATTATCGGAACAGAAGAGTGTAACAGCGTCTAGTATTGCATTAAAGCTGAAATTTTAATCCATATCAGAGGTTCTGAAACTGGGGGAGCCCTCCCCCCGGGACACTCTCAAGGTATCCTAGAGGAAGCGTGAGAATGTTCACGAAAATAAGATTACATGCCTGGCTGAACTTGTAGTGCAGTGTAAGTTTTAATATTATTTGATAGTGGTATATTCATTTTTTTTAACCGGTATATATATATATGTGTGTATGAGTGAGGCAGGTTGGGGTACCAAGTACCACAGACTAGAGGAGCACTGTCAAACAAGTTTGAGAACAGTGTAGTTTTCTTGTTAATAAGAAAGGCACACAATGGTCTATGTGTGCCATACATATGTGAGGGATGGGATCACGAATTTTAGCGTTATAAGCCCTCAAACTTCTTGCTGAGCCACCGGGGAGGGGGCGTTTCAAAACTATTGGTATATGTAACGCGTTTTACATAATCGAAACACAATTCTCTACTTGGGACTGTTCGTCTTCCTTCCTGTTTCAGAATACAAGCCTCTGTTATTAGCTAACTCTACCATCATTTTCATGATAATTTCCTGACAACAAAATCGAAACACAAACCTCCTCCTCTTCAAAATCCATACAATCCCAATGATGAGCCAAACTCGCACTTTTTCTCTTCCAGTACTCCAGGAATGTGACCGCTTTATTTGTAATAAAATAAAACAAGGAGTTTTGTTGTCAGCAAAGTTTCTTTTTTCATTTTCTACTGAAGTTCGTTATATTTTAAACCGCATCAAAAAGTTATAAAGTCTAGCAACGTTTGTCATTAATAGAACAATCATGACGTTTTATTTAAATTCCGTACTTTATAGTTTATAACGTATTTACTTCAGTACGGGGAAAGGAATATCGAGGAAAAATGAAAACTTATTTTGTTTGTTTTAAAGAGAATTCTAATAATATTCGACTTTTGAGAACGTTAGGTTTAGCCTTAACTTTACGTTTAATAAATATGACACTTAAAACTTTTTATTTTGTTTTCATCAAAGGGAATTCTAATGATACTCGATTTTCGAGAATCTTAATAACTTAGATTTAGTTTTAATTAACCTAACATATGTAACATGATGCATGCAATTATTTAAACGTAGCCAAAATGAAGGGGGCGAGGTATCAAACTCTTCCCCATTTAGGGGAGAGTGTTACACCTAACATTATTCTCTTGTTTTAATAATTTTAATCGAATTACAAAGGTACCAGCCTCCACATCTCCCAAAGTGATTTTAGGGTTACAGTACAACACGCTAACAAAGATTTATAGCTCATAATTCCAAAAGAAAAATAAAATAAAGAAATAATCACCCCAGAAAGACACGAAGATGGCATAGAACACAGTTCCCGGGTGATCAAAGAGGTAGGTTAGCTTGCTGTACAGACAGATGTCGCTGAGGTACCAATAGGCGCAGCCATATTTCTCGTCACAGCGAGGACACATCTTGTACGAGACATTCGGGGAACAAACTTCGTTTCTGAAGGATAGGAAGAGGAACTACTTAATCTACTTTATGGTTGGGGAAAAAATCTGCCATAAATCAAATCTTATATCGCGAAAAGTAAACTCTGAGATTTCAAAATTCACGTTAAGTGTGCAAACGTAAATATTTCGTTAATAGTTTGTTTACATTTCTACGATTTGATGTTGAATAGCTTTAGATGTTTTATGTGTCAGAACGAAGAAATGATTACGTTTCTCCCATCAACATAATGAAACAATTAAATTTATCTGTGTACTGACGTTACATCAAATTACGTATAAGTTATACATGTAGTTGGGTGTATACTTACGAAAAGTATATATGTAGTTGGGTGTATAATTACGAGAGTTATCTATGTATTTGGGTGTATAGTTTCAAAAGTTATTTTGGTAGTAGGGTGTACATTTAAAAAGTCATGTATACTTAATGTAGCTACATCTATAGAGCTGGATGTATACTTAATGTAGATACATCTATAGAGCTGGATGTATACTTAATGTAGCTACATCTATAAAGCTGGATGTATACTTAATGTAGATACATCTATAGAGCTGGATGTATACTTAATGTAGCTACATCTATAGAGCTGGATGTATACTTAATGTAGCTACATCTATAGAGCTGGATGTATACTTAATGTAGCTACATCTATAGAGCTGGATGTATACTTAATGTAACTACATCTATAGAGCTGGATGTATACTTAATGTAGCTACATCTATAGAGCTGGATGTATACTTAATGTAGCTACATCTATAGAGCTGGATGTATACTTAATGTAGCTACATCTATAGAGCTGGTTGTATACTTACGAGACAGGATCAAAGTTAATGGTGAACACTCCATACATGAAAACAATAAGACCAACTATAGCAGCTGGTAGTAACCACCCAGTGTAAAATCCTGTTAATATAAAATTATTTTACATGTTGCGTTAATAATTTTAATGAACAACGAATAATCACGAAACATAAACATATAAACCAATTAAAAACTTGCTAAAATAGGTTAATAAACTATTTACTTTCGTCAACATTGAAAACTGTCGTGTAATTTGTTTGATTAGGGTATTCTGTATATTTGTTGGAGTATCAAATAATCTGACCGTTTGTTGACCCAGTTATAAAACACAAACGTCTGTTACAATAATATATATATACACAGTGACGACACCAAGATGTCTCTTCGCTACTACTACTACTACTCTGTGGGATATTCTGGTACATGGATTTACCATAGAGCAAGAGTAGAGTCCGCTAACTGGTGGTCCAACAGATATCAAATAATATAGTTACTGTGTGAACTCCGAGTTCGTCTTAAAGGTAGAGGGAAGACACAAATATGGTCAACTACAATCTTCAATAAAAATAAAAAAACCTTACAAAAACAGTACTCTAAAACAAAATAAGGTTTCGTTTTTGAATTTCACGCAAAGCTATACACGGGCTATCTGCATTAGTCGTCCCTAATAGCACCCACCGCCAACTCTTGGGGTAATTTTTTTTTATCAATGAATAGTGGGATTGACCGTCACTTTATAAAGCCCCCACGGCTGAAAGGGCGAGCATGTTCGGTGTGACGGGGATTCAAACCTGCGACCCGCAGATTGCGAGTCGAGCGCCCTAACCACCTGGCTATAAGATAAGGACAAGTGTTTCTGTAATGAGTGGGATTGGATTAGCCACGGAGATGAAATGAAGCATTTCCTTTGAGTTGAATTTACAAAATTAAAATTAAAGTTAAAATAAAATTGAAACACAAAACGAAGTTAAACAAACACACAAGTGTAAGTAAGAATTAAACAAAATCCAAATCTTGGCAAAAAATTTATTCATGTTCAACTCAATCGGAGGGGCAGGGAAGCCGCTGACCATTACACTATTCACGGACAGAAAAGACAGTTTTTTTGTTTTACTCTGGGATCCTACTAGCTATCCTTCATATAAGAAAAATGTCAGGAAAACGTTATGTTGTTTACTAAATAATGAGGGTCTGGCGTGGTCTGTTGGTTAACGTAACTAGATTGTGAATCCGATGGTTTTTGGTTTGCAACTCGTTGGACTCAAAAACGAGTCCCGCACTTTGGAATCGTGGGTTCGATACATGAATGACGGAGAAATCGTCACAAACGAGACAGTCAAATTCCACTATTCGATTAGAGTAATCCAAAATTTGGCAGTAGGTGCTGATGACTAGCTGTCTTCTCTCTAGTCAGCCTTTTATGTAGGTTTGCACGAAGTTCTGGAATTCTTTTTTCTCAACTAACAACGTTTTACTATGTTAGTTACATAGTTAGTAAACCAGTTTGGTAACATTTTATAAAAATAGAGGGGCTTGGCATGGCCTGGTGGTCAGGGCTCTCGATTCGCAATCTGTTGGTCGAGCGCTCGAATCCCGTCAACGAACACACTTGCCCTTTCAGCCTTGGGAGCGTTATAATGTTACGGTCAATCCCACTATTCGTTGGTAAAAGAGTAGCCCAAGAGTTGGCGGTGGGCAGTGATGACTAGCTGCCTTCCCTCTAGTCTATCACTTCAAAATTAGGAAAGGCTAGCACAGATAGCCCTCGAGTAACTTTGCGCGAAATTTAACAAAACAAACAAACAAAAGTGGACCGATGACGCTTTCTTCAGCCTTTAGGCATGTTACATTGTAACACCATTTTTACTTAGCGTCCATGCTTATTTTTGAAACTAACTCTGTAACAGAAGCGTGCAGCGAACCGTTAAGTTACCTTTTGATCAAAGGCCAATAAAATAATTAATTCTGTGTATAAAAGAAGAACAAAAATAGCAAGAATGGATAGAAAACTGTGGTTAAACTACACTACGCGAATATAAGAATAATATTTTGACATTTTAGACGATCAATTTATAACACATAGGAAATTATTTTACCTAACCATGCGAAGTAGATGCCAATCTTTTCGCCGAAATATTCGCGAATGTGATCCAAGGGTTGATACTTGTGCCATTTTCCCCATCGTGCCCAGTATTCGTAGAGGATCTGGCGGTTGTTGAGACTCTCAGGAACCACGTAATGTGGAGGTTTCTGGTACAAACCCTACAGTTACGGTAAAAATCCACACATGTTTAAATATAATAATGATCGACATGCTTTCATACTAAAGTATCCCAATAATATAGTACCATAATACCACAGTGTCTACACAACTGACCAGTAGACCACACCATAATACCACAGTGTCTAAACAACTGACCAGTAGACCACACCATAATACCACAGTGTCTACACAACTGACCAGTAGAACACACCATAATACTGTTACAAGCTGCTACACAGTATAATATCCATCATTATATAAACAATACCAGTAGAACACACCATAATACTGATACAAGCTAATACAGAATATAATATCCATCATTATATAAACAATACCAATAGAACACACCACAATATTGTTACAAGCTGCTACAGAGTATAATATCCATCAGTATACAAACAAGTGACCAGTAGAACACACCATAATACTGTTACAAGCTGCTACAGAGTACAATATCCATCATTATATAAACAAGTGACCAGTAGAACACATTACAATGCAGACACAAGCTGCTACAGAGTACATTATCCACCAGTATATAAACAAGTGACCAGTAGAACACACCACAATGCTGTTACAAGCTACATATATAAACAAGTGACCAGTAGAACACACCATAATACTGTTACAAGCTACTACAGAGTATAATATCCATCAGTATATAAACAAGTGACCAGTAGAACACACCAAGCTGCTACACAGTATAATATCCATCATTATATAAACAAGTGACCAGTAGAACACACCATAATACTGCTACAAGCTGCTACACAGTATAATATCCATCAGTATTTAAACAAGTGACCAGTAGAACACACTACAATGCAGACACAAGCTGCTACAGAGTACACTATCCATCAGTATATAAACAAGTGACCAGTAGAACACACAACAATGCAGACACAAGCTGCTACAGAGTACACTATCCATCAGTATATAAACAAGTGACCAGTAGAACACGCCACAATGCAGACACAAGCTGCTACAGAGTACATTATCCATCAGTATATAAACAAGTGACCAGTAGAACACACAACAATGCAGACACAAGCTGCTACAGAGTACACTATCCATCAGTATATAAACAAGTGACCAGTAGAACACGCCACAATGCTGTTACAAGCTGCTATATTTTAGAATGTCTTTTATTGTATGAATGCTACAAACAGATGATTGTTGTTTAGTTCAAGTACTGTTGCACGTTTCAACAGCTTAACGAAGACGTTCTCTCCTTCTTCACATTCTTCATATGTATTTACCCCTGGAATACTGGCCATTTGCAGTTTTTCCTTTGAATTATTTTTTAAATTTTCTGCGAGACATTCACTAATCATGTATGTCTTAAATCTTTCTTTTTTTTTGCGCTTTCTTATATACATCTAAAATTTTGTCGTTCTAAATATCTAAACAATCCTTTATACCTAGGTTTAAAAAAGCTGTGGAGACAAATCCTAATAATGATAATAAGTCAAACGTTTCAACTTTTTCTGAAACTCCGTACGTAAAAACCATCCTAACCCTTAAATGGCCATACCGCTCATATGTCTCTAATTATATATTTTGATGCACAATATTACAGATTCTAATCTTGAAAATATCCATTTAATCAAAAAATTGTGTTGAAATTTGTTATTAAAATGTAGACGTGCGTGCGATTAAAAAACAACAACAAAAACTCTTAATATTAATTACGTCGTGGAGGGGAAAAGCAGCGTTATATACGCCCTCTTCCACGAGACGGTCAATTCCAATCTGAGCTCGACGTCTTTTCCCGTATACTGCAGTCTCCAGAATCTCGTATACAATCCGGGCCCTCTGTGTCGATGTGAAGTACTCGTCCTGGTTATCAACCCCCAGAAATCTGGACTCAGCAAGGAAGGAAAGCAACGTGTTAACATAAGACAAACAATTGGGTATTATTCATCCATTCACAAGCCAATAAACATAATTAAGACTTTCACGTTAAAGAATTTTATCTGTTTTCATTATATCACTTTCCAGGCAGTCAACTTCATACTTTCTATTCTTTAAATTCAAAATCAATTAATTAGACTCAAGAAAAACACTTTTTTGTTTTTTGTTTTTACTAATTCACTAGATTACAAAATTATTCATTTTTTAAAACTAATATTAACAGCTTGTAGATCACGATAATACTTTAGGCCTAAAATGTGGTGGTTAATAGACATCAGAATAACACTTTAGGCCTAAAATATGGTGGTTAATACGTATATCAAGATAAGACTTTAGGAATAAAGTATGATGGTTAAACATGTCAGGATAAAGCATTAGGTTTCAAGTGTGGTGGTTAATAAATATATTAGGATAAGACTTTAGGCCTAAAGTGTGGTTGTTAATAAACATATCAAGATAAGACTTTAGGTATAAGATGTGATGGTTAATAAGTGTATTAGGATAAAACATAGGGTCTCAAGTGTGGTTGGTGGTTAACAAATATATTAGGATAAGACTAGATATAATGTGTGGTGGTTAATAAATATATGAGGATAAAACATTAGGTCTCCAGTGTGGTGGTTAATATATATATATATATATATATATATATTGAGATAAGACTTTAGGTCTGAAGTGTGATGGCTGATAAATACATTTTAATATGCAAATATATTATTTATCATACTCCTGCAAAATTTAATTTCCACAAAAATCTCATAAAATAAATGTAAGACTTTGTTACAAAAATATTTTTTTGGTACTCTACTCTAACAAAAAGAATGACGAGTACTTAATAAAGATAAAACAACTCTCTGTGGATATTTAAAAGAATTTCGGGTGTAAATAATAAAAACGTCTATAGTTACTGTAATACATTTAAAAAATAGATGGGCGGGAAGGACAAAAAATAAATGGCATTTGACATATTTAAAATATTATATATTTAATTAAGAAGAATTAAGGGAAATTATCCAGGCAATAAAGAATTTTGTATAGAGAGGGTTAGAACTGTGCCTTTAAAACAGGCTGAATAAATAGGATGAGAAAAGTTAACCACCTAATGATACACTCCAGATATAAGTTTTTTTTTTTAAATTTTAACCAACGTTTCGGCTGTGCAGCTTCCTCGGGGTTAAAATACACAACAGTTGTGTTTATTAACCCTGAGGAAGCCGCAAGGCGAAACGTTGGTTAAAATTTATATATATATATGGAGTGTAAAGGTCGTTTTCTTCTAAACTTTTTATCAAAATGTGTAAATCCTTACAAATTTTGAAAGGCAAGAAAAAAAAACACCTAATACCTCTGTAGGGTTAAACAAAATACGACATTGAAACTGGCGCTACTGACCAGCCAGTTGCTGACTAAACCAAAGACCTGGAATAATTTCTTGCTTTTCTTTTTAATTTTAAGAATTAATGTATTGAATTATAATAACACGCATGCTAAATTTTCCTCATTTTCATTTTAAGCTTCATGTACTCTCCCGCATACAGTAAATTAACTCAGGTGGGATAAGCGTAACAGACGAAAACATCCCACGTGTGGTAGGTTTGGTTTGTTTTGTATTTCGCGCAAAGCTACACGAGGGTTATTTGCGTTAGCCGTCCCTAATTTAGCAGTGAAAGACTAGAGGAAAGGCAGCTAGTCATCACCGCCAACTCTTGGGCTACTCTTTCACTTTTACCAACGAATAGTGGATTGACCGTAACATTATAACCCCCCCCCCGACTGAAAGAGCGAGCATGTTTGATTGGACGGGGATTCGAACCCGCGACCCTCAGATTGCTAGTCAGCGTGTGGTAGGAGCGATGAGACACGTATAACATACAAAAACAACCCTAACATAACGAGAATGAACTATATCTGGTATTAAAGACGAGAAGTGTAGAACAGGAAAAAATATGATTGTATAAAAAAGGTAAAGCATATTCATGTGGTACACACGCTGGGAGACTGTTATGAAAACTGCCTTACTTGTCTAATTTGGACTTCTTGAAGGCGCAAGTGTAGTAATCCAAGGGTTTGTTGGGTACATCTTCATACATGGCATTTGGTATGCGAAATGTTCTTAACAGTTGTTCTGACCAGTTGACGCTAGGGTTAGGGTGGGCCTGTAAATCAGCATATAGTGTATTAAACATATAACCACAGCTATGTTCATCCATACCTGTGTAGCCAAAAAAATAGTTAGTTTGTGGCATCTTGCAAATAAACCTCCAAATATTACTTTCAGCAAAGAACTTTATACCATCACCTTTAAATATAACTATTAATTTGTTTGGTTGTCTCTATAATGTAGATCAGCGTTTCTCAAACTGCAGTCCGCGATGGTACTCCAAAGGGTCCGTAAGTTATGTTCGAAATTTCATAAAAATATATATTTTTTTAAATATGATTTAAATAATAACAATACTTTTTGTAAAATTAATTTAATATTAATTAAAACATTTAATTTTGGAATACAGCTTTTCATTTTCATGGAATCTTTTTTTTTTCTTCAAAACAAGAAAACATCAATAGTTTTGATATTACTTTAGATACGCTATTATTTTAGAAATATCGCATTAGGCGTCTTCAACTTTTTTTAATTTTTTCAAAATATTACGCTAATCTATAGCTTTTCTCTGTCAAAAATGTTCTAGTGAACTTGAAAGCTATTTGAAAATTAACGCAATTAATCTGAGTACCAAATATGGAGAAATTTGAGTCTTATCCAAAATGGTTTATTGTATTAGTTGATTTCAAGACAATTCTCAGTCGAATTTGTGTGTAGTACTTGCGTAACAGTTTGGTGAGTTGAATTTTAACCATTAAAATTCTGCTTACCAAACTAAGGAAGGCCTAAGTATATGGGGCGCTTACGTACAGTTATCCGATGAGTGTCGCTAAGGGGACTAAGTTTTACATTCAGAAAGTAACGAGTTATGGTTTCAAGAAAAGGTTTTGTAGTTTTGGATGGAATAAAAATACTCAACATCCCTCGTGCATACCTTGAAGGAGCAATGCCGTAGGTCTAAGAGTACAGAATAGACTGAATCACGTTTTCCTAACGTTAAAACTTAAACCTTAACTGTATGAAAACGAGGCTTGAAAGTGCAATTAAAACATTTTTATTCATTACAGACTTTGGGAAATGTTAAACGGGTAAAATCATGACTAATGAACGAAAGATACACAGAATAGATCGACAGAACGAGGCTGTATAAAATACTGTTTGGTTTAAATATTGGTAATTAATTTATACTTGTGAGCGAATATTTTATTATTTTTAAGTTTTGTTATAATAAGAGTTAAAAGCAGACGATCGTAGAAGGTTTTGGTAATAACCAATTGGTGTCGAGAATATAGAAAGTGGCCAGACGACTATGTAATAAAGATATAAATAGCGGGAAGCAGCAGACAGACAGTACTTGATAGATAAAAGCAAAGAGAATACAGCTGGTGTGAAGTTAAGTAACATAAAAGTGATAGGCCTAACGACTGACATAGGCCTAACGTTTGATATGTTAGAGTGAAAGACAATTTTATTTTGTCAAAGCGTGGATCTAAAGTAATTGAATCAGCCTGGATACACTTTGACAAATGGAATAGAGGATCTTCAGAAGAAAGAAGACCAAACGAAGTACAGTAACTTGCGCCACAACTGTAAGTGAATCATACACAGAATACTAGTACGATAGTAACATAGAGAAGATAGTTCGACTTGTCAACTGAAATTCTAAAGTAACTGAATAGGCCGAAGTAGATTTTTGACAAGAAGAGAACTATATATATATAAATAGTGTTTATGATATGCCTGTAATCTCTACAGTGTGAATACTTTGTTGTACATACGTTTAAGTTAATTTGTTCCGAATATATTGTTTGTTTGTTTGTTATGGATTTCGCGCAAAGCTACACAAGGGCTATCTGTGCTACCCATCCCTAATTTAGCAATGTAAGACTAGAGGGAAGGGTGCTAGTCATCACCACCCACCGCCAACTCTTGGGCTACTCTTTTACCAACGAATAGTAGGATTGACCGTCACATTATAACGCCCCAACGGCTGAAAGGGCGAGCATGTTTGGTGTGACGGGAATAGCGAGTCGAGCGCCCTAACCACCTGGCCATGCAGGGCCTCCGAATATATATATATATATATATATATATATTATTTAGTAAATATATATATT